GGGGCGGGAGAGGACGGCGGCCGCGCGACGCGGGCCCCTCGCCGCCCTCGGGCGTCTGGGGGCTCTGCCTGGGGCCCGGTGCCTTTTCTAGCGTCGGTGCCCTTGAGTGACACCCGCGCGGCCCAATCGCGGCGCGCCTCTCCCCGAGGGGCGGGGGGCTGGTGGGCTTCCTCTTTTTCGCCCGGAGGCGCTCCGGGTGCTCACTTTAGGGTCTCGGGAGCAGCTGGTGGGACGGGGCCTCCCTGCGTTCCGGCGGCTTCTCCCTCCGGCCCAGCCCGCCCCAGCCAGTGGGGTCTGGCCCCCAAACCTCTCTGCAGGCGCCCCTTCCTCCCCCTCGGGCTCCCCGCAAAGCTGATCTGCATGGTGCATGGTGACTTTTATAAATGAGCAGCAGACCCCGTTCAGGGGCTCGCTTCCCCCCCTCCCCCAGCTCCTTTTTTTTTTTTTTTGCTAGGGGTCAGGGAGACCAAAAGCATCATATTTTGTTGCTTAGAAATATAACACTGTCTCTGTTTTTTCTATCTATTCTCCATGAAGTTTTCTTAATTTTTTTTTTTTTTTCACTGTATATCGCCCCCCATCCCGTTTCCCTGCCCTCAACACCCCTCCTCCTGATGCAGAAGCATCACTGCATTGAAAGTGGTTTTCCTCCTGGATCTGCTGCAGCCGGATGATCTCAGCCGAGAGAGAATAGATGGGTTGCAGGGCCCCGTCCCTAGAGAGCTCGGTGTTTTTTTTCGGGTAGAAGAGCCAGGTGATATGAATCCAGGTATTCTCGCTGCCAGCTGGAGGGGGCAGCCCCTGATGTTGTCAATACCCCGTTTGTCGCTGGTGCTGGGCCGGAGCCACTGGGGAGAAATGCATTGAGTTAGGTCCGGTTACCTGCCCTTGGCTTCCACACCTGTCCCCAAAGGATGTGGTTCCTTTATGAGATGATGTGTCTGAGGCTGTGCTTTGTAAAAACCTGGCCCTAGGAAGTGGGAACCTAGAGGAGCCAGAATACTAGATAATTTCCCTCTCCTTTCACTCCCCAGACTTTCCATTTTGTAAGCAGCAAGATTTTCTTTTTCCTTGCCTTTTTTTTTTTTTTTAAATACATGAGTTTCCTAAGAAGGAGGCATATTGTTTGACCTGTTATCACCCATTTGCTTCCATATACCCAGGGTCAGTTCAGTTTCAATTGGTCTGGCAGATAGTGTATTTTTAAAGAAGTAATGGGTGCACAGAGCACAAAAGGCTGTGTATGCAACATGCATCCCTTCCACTTCCAGCCGGTGGGAAACCACCACCGGGAACCGTTTAACGGGCTGTTTTCAATACCAAGTTAAATCCTAAGCAGTTCCTGTTTACCTAGTCACTGTGTAAACCAGCAAGCATGGATACTGGGTAGAAGTTATTAAACAAATGGACAAGTCATGTAAATATTCCGGTTGTTTCCTAGTAGCATTGTGTCTGGAACCTTGATTATTAAACACACACAATTCCGAAATGTTACCTGGAAAAGACGATGCTATTTTGCAAATCACAGATTTTTATTGAGATATAACTGACACACCATTCATTCTTTAAAGTGTACATTACAGCTCATGGGTTTTGGTGTGTTCACAGAGTTGTGCAACCATCACCACTGTCTAATTCCAGAACTTCTCATCACCCCAAAAAGACACCCCATACCCCTTTTGGTCACTGCCATTCTCTCCGTTCCCCAGCTCCTGGCAAACATTCATCTACTTTCTGTCTCTGTAGATTTGACTATTCTGGATAGTTTGTGTAAATGGAATCATACAATATGTGGTCTTTTACTGAGCTTGTTAGCATAATGTTTTCAGTGTTCACATTGTAGCGAGTTCAGCCACATTGTAACAAGTTTAGCTACTTGTAGAGTGTGACAGTACTTCATTCCTATTTTTTAGTACTTCATTCCTTTTTATGGCTGAGAGAGATTCCTTTATGTGGATGCACCACATTTGTTGATCCATTCAGCAGTTGATGGACATTTGGGTGGTTTCTGCATTTTGGCTGTTGGGAATGATGTTACTCTCCTTAATGTAGACTCATATAAAAGGATCAAGGTTTCCAAAGTCACAAAGAGACAGTTGCTAGGTTTAGTGCCTTTTTAGTAGTATTTTTCCCCCTATTCGTTTTCAGACCCTTGGGAGCTTAGGATATCTCAGTTCTGAATGTTAGCACCTGAAAATGCCGGTAGACGAGGAAGCACCTGGAGATGACTCGGACCCAGTTTCTTCAGACAGTGAAAGAACCTACACTTACCAGTGAGAGAGCGTAACACTTTCTACACCATGGAGGACTTTGACTTGGTGAAGCACTTACAAAAAACTCCGTCTTCTGTAGGATCTGATCTAAAAAATTCTCCCTATTCTCTTGGACTGAACTTAAATATTAATAGGTAAGAAAGGGATAGATTCTTTTAAATGTATTAACAAATCAAAATAAATTTATTTGTGTAGATTACCAATTTGTCCAAATAATGTCATAGTTACTGATTTGCATTTTTTAAAAAACAAAACAAACTATGATCAGGAACTGTTGGGGACAGATAAGTATAATTTCAGCCCTCCCACATTTTTTATTTCTGCCAGTGGAATGTACTTTTGTATGGGGAACAGTGTGAAAAAGTTGTTGCTAGTTGTAGCGCGCTTTATACTTTTTCCGTTTTTAGTAAATTACAAGAACATCTTTAAAATTTAGTTGCCTAAATGTTGTTTCTGCATTTTTAAGACCAATAATGCTTAATATTGCAGAAATAGCTCACCAATCTGGAAGTGGCAATTAAGGCTGAATACTAGGAAGTAAGAAAAAAACAAACAAAAAAACCCAGACAGAGTCCACAAAATAGATGCTGTCAAACAATGCATTTTATGCTTTTTTTTTTAAAACTACCCCACATCTGGCTTGTTTTTAATCAGAGCCGGTTTACTCTGATTGTGTACATAGTCTGACAAGCTTGCTTACTTGGTGTCTCAATTTACAGTAGCTGAAAAACAGCGAAGAGGCAGCAGGGACTCTTAGAGGCCAACTGTAAAAAGCTGTGGGGGTAAAGGGAAAGCAGCAGTCGGGCCTTTACACACAATAGGAGGAAGCATGACTTCAAGTAGGGTGAAAGGAAAAACCTGGCGTGGGAAGTGGCCCGGAAGGGCCGTGTGCGTGGGAACCTGACCCACTGCCGAACGTGGGCCGCGCTGTTTCCTGTATCGCCCGGTGGCCCCTCGGAAGCCCGTTACTAGGAGAAGCCCCTTTAGAACCCGGTGCTGGATTTGCCGGCGGGAACCTAAGTGCCTTTCTAATGAAAATTATGGGACGGAACTCGCCTCCCTTTCGCTGTGCCTGCAGCTGAACCTGCCAAATTTAAGCTGGATTAACATACACCCCTGACGGATGACACACACTGTCCTCCTGCCCCTGGAATTTTTACTCATATTTTCTCTGACCCTGATCTGGTTGGCTGGTGTTTTCATTGGTGTCCTCTCTCTCACAAATTCTTCGTGAAACAGTATCAGTGAAGAAACAAAAGTGGCCTTTCAGTGATTGGGATGTAAATACGTGTTATCGCCCTTCATTGTGCTGTTGGGGTTTTCATGAAACATCTGAAATAAACTCGATTCCGGCTGGGAAAGGCAGTCCTGGAGGGAGCCGGCACTGTACACACTGAGTAGGCGCAATTCGTCCTGAATACTGGCTGCTGATGTGCTTGGCTCGACTTTTATTCAAAGATGTGCGAAGTTAAGCATCAGCTTATCAGGCCAAATTAGAGGGACCCAGGCAACCCGACCCCGCCGTCACTGTGGGTGGCGGGACAGAGCCCCAGGACAATGAAGGGCTGTGCTCAGGGGCCACCTCACCCGTCCTGCAGTAACTCGGCTCAGAGAGGCCGGGGTGCTGCTGCTGATTGTTCAGCAGAAACTCTTATTTTCTGCCGCTACTTCCGAGTGGCCTCTCACTCCTGAAAAAGGCCTTTCTGTCGTGTTCTTTAAAAAAAATTAAATGCTCTCTGTCTCTTTACTGCTGTTTTTCTTTTGCGGGCAAACGTGGGATCAGATTTGCAACAAATGTGGTGCCATTAAGACGGATTAAGTGTCAGTGGTTTTGTTCTGCGCTGCTAAATCTTGGGCTGCTGAATTATTCAACACTCTGGTGGAACGAAGGAAACCATCTGAATTATTTGTGTTTCAACAGAAGTAGTCCCCACCTTAGTACAAACGGGGTGTCCTCTTTCTCAGGGAAGACCAGAGCGTCCGCAAGCCGAGGCGCAGCTGGAGCCCTCGCCCCTTTGATGCAGGAGCTGCCGAGCCGGGCGGGCACTGATTCGCAACTCTGGAGGAGCCGTCAGGTACCCAGCTTTGTTTTGTTTTGGGGATTTTAAAATAGCTTTAAACGTGCCTCTACTCAGCTCTAACCTCTTAGGAGTTTATATCCTGGAGAGCGTGGCTGCTGAAGGACGGTGCCGAGGGCTTAACTGGGGGACGAGACGGGGCGAACGGAGCGGGTGGTTGGAAGCACGTCAGGATATTCGTGATTAGACCTGCCACTGAGTGATATCTTCAGTGTGGACGGAAACGTCTCTTCAGAGGAACCCGAAATTATTAATACTGTTATTGATCCCCATGTTTTAAGCGACTCACGGAATTGTCATCATCTTGAAAAACCTAAATGAGAGCATTCAGAAGACGTAAATGAAGGCCTCTGTTGACTTAGCGCCTTACCACGCGGGGCTGCAGTGGGTGTGTTGGGGCTGCTGAGCTCAGGGCAGTGGTCCGCAGGCTGGCTCCTGATGTGGGACCTCATGCAGGGAACACTTGTGTGTATAGACCTTGCCTCGCCCTGGCAGGGGCTCGGGGCTGGAGCCCATCCCGAGCACCGAAAGGGTTCAGGTTGGGTCCCGGTCACATCCGGGAGGCAGCAGGTTGACGGTTCCGTCTCCTCCCTCCCCCTCCAGTCAGTAAACAGACCCTTGGGTGAGGGTTTAAAATCTTTTTGCTTCATAGACTAATGCCCGCAATAGACTTTCCCCGGCTAGCGAGCTGTGTGCTGGGGGTGGGGCTGGGGTGCAGGAGCCAGCGGTGCGGCCGGCCGGTGCGTGGTGGGAGAGGGGCCGCGGGGTTGCCGCCTGTGCTGCTCCTGGAGCAC